CTAAGCGCGCAGAATTTCAGCCCAGGCATGACTTGGAATCCAGTCAAAAAACCGATCGAGTCACAGAGTTGACCTAAGACTAGATTTTTCGATCTATATATGTAGTGAATTTCAACCTCTTCTTAAGAGCGTTTTAACTGCTTCGTCTAAAGGATAAGATAATCCAAATATAGCGATGATTCATCATTCATTTAGACTGAGTTATTCACAACAGTGGATGTTCTATTCCTATCTAATACTGATTCATCCTTCTTCGGTATAAATCTGGTCTAAAACTGGGTTATTGAAAGCGCTAGACAAAGATAAAAATAACTTTCAATTTGAGGCTTACGATATATTTATTGCTTTTTATGTGCGGCTATTGTTCTTGTTGTGAATTGTACCCTCAAGAGGTAACAGAATGCTGATAATTTTCTAAATTTTTGAGTCAATTTCTTGCCGAAAGTTATCGATATTTTCAGGAATCGAAGCACATTAATCTTCGGGAAGCGATGATGAAAATCATTGTGCGTTAGGTTCGAAAAATAACAATAACTTCGAGCAGGAAATTTGTTTGAAAATTTCGAGGAAACAATTGACGTCTGTTACCACTTAAGTGGTCGCACAATGAAGGAATCCCCGCCGTTTTTCGATTTTTTTTTCATGCAAAAACTTCGTTAGTGAAAAATTCCCGAAAAATTTGTGTGGGTATACCGTGAGGACGTCAGTTCTCGGACGGTGTTTAGATCTCGGACGTAGAGCACTCTTACGATTGAATTTCAAATTAATTGCATATCCATAGTGCTCGACGGCCATTTTCTGTTATTCCCTTCAAAAGTAGAATAAATTCTCCCCAAATTGCAATATTTATTAATATTTCACTAAGTGTACAGAATTATTACACTTATATTTATTCGAGGGTTCACACAGTAGGAGGGTCTGTAGAGTGTTATGTAGTGTGCGGACGGTGAAATCCCTCTGTGCTTCTTAAGGATCTAACAACAAAATGTAAGTGAAAAATTGTTTATAATCGGTTTTAATGAGTTGAAGGTTAATTTTCGAATTAAAATAAATGTGGACAATTTACAAAAATAAATAAATTATTGGAGAAATTGATGGTCCGAGATCTGAATCCACCAAAGGCGAGGTAGGTTTAGTTCTCGGACGTGTTTATCCATGTGCTTAACCTCAATCGCACGCATGAAGAAATTTGACGGAAAAACTTAGCACTTTCTCTGAGAAATTCTATTGCATTTCTAGTGGAATTATATGAGAATTCTCTTGGAGTTCCATTAGAATTCTATTGGAAAATTGTATTCGTTTTTTTGGACCATTTATATAGAATTTTATCTAATGTTACCGTTTCATTTGTCCAAGAGATATTCGGCTTGAAAAAAGTAAATAGATTTTGAGATGTTTAATGAAATTCATAGGGGTAAATATTAGAATTTTTTCTGCTAAATTTTTATTCGTTTTTGTTGCTAAAATTGCTGAAAAAAAAATCTCAGGGCTAAATTTTTTCATTGAATTCATTCATACAAGCGTACATCCCTGTCAGTGCTATTATTCTCATGGAGACATTCTTCTCACGTTTTTGAAACAAAATAATGATTCCCAAGAATAATAACAAAAAAAAAATCATCCATTCTTCGACTCTTTCAGGCCTGCGACGCTTTCGCGAACTAGAAAATCAAAAGCACCAGAGTATACTCCTGAGCAGTTAGAAAGTGTTCTGACGGCGATCAGAACAGGAAGATCTTTAGGATCAGTCAGCAAAGAATATTGTGGCCAGGAAGAATATAATATCCCTAAGTCAACCTTACATGACAAGGTAAATGGCAAGACAAAAGCTGGGATCAACAGACCTGGCCCTGAGTGTATTGTGGGAGAATTTTATGAGAAGAAACTGGTAGAATGGATTTGTTATATGGCTGATAGGGGGTTTGCCGTCACTAAGGATCAATTGTAGAATTCCGTTCACAAACTGATGAAATCTCTTGGCTCAATTACTCTTAATTCATAATAATAATGGTTATTCATGGTTATCATTTAGTGTGTAATAAGTTTATGGCTGTTGGAATGAGAATAGATCTGTTAAAAATATATTTTACAATTGATTTCCTATATTTTTCCTTCTCCCAAACCCCTCTCATTCACTTCGTCCGAGAACTGAATTCATGTCGTCCGAGAACTGAAGTGGGTCAGTTTTCGGCGTCCGAGAACTGAATCTGGGGGGCTGTGTTTTGTTTTAACAAATATTTATCGAATCCCGAAGTTTTTTAATAAAAATCAAACGTGTTCTTGTCCCAAAAACATCAAAAATGACTATGGAGACCGCAAACTTCATATTTGACGGAAAAAAAACCAAGAATCGGTTATTGATGGTCGAATTACCCTTAACCGTCCGAGAACTGACGCCCTCACGGTAGTACATTACATGCCCGAGCCTTGGAAAACAGATCACCGTCCCCCACGTGCTTGCCATCCTCGCCTTCGGCTCGGAAGGCAATCTTGTACATGGGGGAGGGTGATATGTTTTCCATGGCGAGGTGTGTATATTAATTTTCGTGTCGAGGGACCTGCAAAACGCCAATTTTGATGATCGCCAACGAAAATGGGGTTTTTCAGGTCCTGTGACACGAAAAAGTGTTTTTTTTTGCACGGAGTGCATAAAGTTGAAGGTCGTGTGTTTAATTTACTTTAAGCACGACCGCTGAAATTATCTGGCGCCTTGCGAGAAACAACCACTTTACGCACGATAAATCGCGGAAACGTGTACAGAAACGTGTACTTTTCAGGCGGGTGTTACAAAAAATTTTATATACCAATGTTTGTCAAATATTATGTTAAAAATTGCATCGATCACTCCCCTCATTGCCCTGATCAATGTACCTGACAAAGTTTGAAGAATTTCCATAATTTATTATGGTTTGCGAAGAAAAATTTGCTAAGCATCTTTTCACACAATTTGATCACCAAGAATGGGTGCGCAGCTGCCCAGTATATACACCAGCTAACTTTCCCCTCCACGCCCCCCAAAACCGTTTTTATTTTTTTCCGTACAAATTTCAAACCGCAGCACATTTTGAGTTATATTTTACCATACAATGTTATTATGAGCCATTCATTGCAATTTTTATTCCATTTTCTCATAATAAAATATTCGAGGCAAATTTTAGTAAGAACGTTGGGAGCACTGATTTCTATCTCGTGAATTGCGATTTCGTAAGATGTTAGGAGTTGGCTGTGTTGGATGACGGCAGGTCGACATTCAAATGGGATCGGTGGATCGGACCCGCGTTTCAATACCATTCAACATCAACACCGGCATCTTCTGTCAATTACACGGTATGATTCTAGTTCGATTAAAAAAATGTGTACTAAAAAATAATTCTCCCAGGAAAGTGATGGGTGATAGTGGTGAAAAATTGTAAATACATCCATCGAGACCATGATTTTGATTGACATTAATTCTCGCCCGTGGGATAAGTTGTACCAAAACAAAAATCTAACCTTTCAACTAGAAATCATTGTGCTATAATATTTCATGTGAATTAAAAAACAAAGAAAATAAGAATTTCTGACAACAAAAGGCCATCTTAGAAACTGAGTTCTTGAATTTAACACAAGTTGAAATATTAACAATATACATAAATGAGATGGGTGCATTGATTAAAAAAAATCGGTTAGCAGGAGAAAAAGAACTGTCAATTTGTGGCTTAAAATTATTCTCCGGTTTACGAAAATTTGTAAAATGTGGGAAAAAAACGTGTGAAATCTTCTAAAAAAACAAAAAGAAATGGTAAGAAAGCATTTGCTAAGAACGGGTACGATCTTTTGCAAAAAGTTGTAAAATCGAGCAAAAGCTGTAGTGCCAAGTACAGATTAATAAAGCCTAAAGATTATGACGGAATTTATAAAACTGAAGAAATAATGAACATCAAGTACAGATTAATAAAGGCTAATGATTAGGACGCAACTCCCATAAAATTGAAGAAATAACAAAAATCATGAAAAAGACTCATGAAATGATGGCGTGCGATTAAAGCTATATAAAATCTCGCCAAGTAGGTTGACTTAGAATTTTTATCCTCTCAATTTGTGAATATCTTTTTCATGATTTTCCTTATTTCTTTAGTTTTATGAGTTGCATCATAATATTTAGGCTTTATTAATCTGTACTTGGAACTACAGCTTTTGCTCGATTTCTCAACTTTTTGTAAACAAACCAACGATCGCACCCGTTCTTGGTGAGTGATTTTTTTGCAAAAAACCTTTCATTTTTTTGGGAGATTTGATCTAAACATATAGTGATTGAAAATCTTCAAATCTATGGTCAGTATGAAACTGTGAATAACACTTGTATTACCCTAATTGAGTTCTTGACCGTGTTGATTGCATCGACCGGTGCTTGTCCCCTCTTCAATTTGATAATTTGATTAATAGCAATTGAATTTGATTGGAAATAAAAAAAAGACTTACCACCGGAAATAACTCATAGTATTATTTGTCCTCCAACCATTTAATCATTCACGCCCCAAATTATTGAATTATTTAATTTGTAGAGAAATTCTGCTGAAATGACTGAATTACATGCATTACTGAGGGCAGGGTAAACTTGCACGCGTGCGCGTGATAACTATACTCATATTCTTCGTTTCGTCTTCACGATCTTCTACGTCGCGCGTGTTGGATCACTGTTGAATGCTAGAAGAGGTTTGGCATTTTGGGAACGTAATTCAGGCGATACCGCGGAGTTTCTCTCTTTCTCACTCTCTCCTATGCGCGAGGATCATGTGTTTTGTCTGATTGCAGCGCCTACGCTTCAAACGTGAGTGTCAGAGGAGAATATGCGGCTAGGTAGAGGAAATTGTTTTGATGGGGCAGGAAAGTGTTGTGATTCAAGACGTTTTAAAATACTTTGGATGGCTCGACATCTCAATGATATTTTTATAATTTATTATGTTTTTCTTTTCGGCGAAATAAAATGGTAAAAATGCATTTTGCGTTTTTGCGCTTACCTCACCGGCTGACTATTTCTGCTGTGTCGTATCGACCGATGCACGTCTCTCTCAATGTTTACTCTTTTTATCAAACTATCTCACGTTCTCACTGGCAATAAATATTGGTCTTATCGTTTATTGACCTGAGTTTTTAATTATTAATGAGATACTCTCGATGGTCGGTGAAATTATTACCTGTAACTTCGGACGTAACACGTTGTGGAGTTCTCGAGGGAGCCCCATTCCTGTAATGAATAATGCACACACACTGGTATGAATGCTCTTCGTGATAAAACCGTGTCATTGATGGTACGCATGCGTGGTCTGTATAAACGGTGGTCCTCGGTGGGAGAGGGCGGATTAACCTGACCGACTGATGGTCAGGTGATTGGATTTTCGGACGTGGTTTTTCGATTATTTGAAAAAAGGAAATCTGAATATTTCGATATTTGGAAATGGTGCGGATGTGAAGCGAAGTGTTGTGATGGCAAATGCACAGTTTTCCCAAGTTGAAGAATTGAGAATAATAATTTTCAGAAGGATAACAAGAAATGGATTAATTTTTTGTTCTGGTGTCAAAATTTCTCCGTGTATTTGCCAATGCAAAATTTTGATTGTTTACCCCAACTCTTTGAATTTTCAGGTGTTTACTGATATGAAGACGATGAAGATAATGATATTTATCTGCGAATAGACCAATATCCTTCATGAAGCGTTGAATATTAATGTGAAATTTTCTTGGAAGTGTAAAATTTCTATGTAATTTAATGATATGGTGCAAAATGTGAATATAATCAATTTTTTTTCGCTAGGATTTTACTCAACAGAAATGTAGTATTTAACGTTTGGCGGTGGAGTAGGGATAACATTATTTTGATCGGTACAAAATTCCGATTGCCGATACCAATTATGAATCCCCATATTATGAGATAGAGTAAGAGAGACTGCATTTCGTGGTTCTAACCCCCCACCTCCATTTTTTTTTTAGTTTAACCAAGTTTTTATAAGAAAAAATTTACAGTCAATATTTATATGATTTACATACCTTAAAAACTAGTATCAAAAAAGTTCTATGAACGTTATTTTATAAGATATGTAAACTTTGGCCAGCAGTGACTCTCGAGTTTATTTATTATCGTACAATTATTTTATGTTTAAATAACAGGGTATTTGTACTAGAGATTGCTGCGCTGGTTTTTCTGCAATTACTATCTATACGTTTTTTTGGTGTTTAAAAAAAAATTGTTTTTGAGTTTGCACGAATGCAAAGAAAAGCATCACATTATTTGCAGAGGGGAAACAGGAAGGATGTAATTTTTTCAATTACCTAGGTTGAATCATTAAATTATGAGTCACAGTTATATCATTTTTATAGTTTAATGGTTATTCGAATAATACTGAGCTGCAGTAACAGTCGTTGTATTTTTAATAATACCTTTTCCTTCTGACTAATAATTAGTGGCTAACCCCCCACTTCCTCGCGGACACCCATCATAAACCCATAATCATATAATTAATAATCAATTAAAGGGGGCTTATGAATGAAAAAACTTGTATACCGATACAAAAAAAAGTGAACCCAAAGGAGAGAAAGAATACGATCGATGCAAAGAAAAGAAAAGTATTGACAAGGAGATTTTGATTTTGAACTGATCAATTTCGATAACAATCGAGAGAATATTCATCCAAGGTGTTTTTCCGGGCAATGTTGAATTTATAAAGTAAATTTTAAATTTTCTTGCTTGTTTCACACAAATTCTTGTTGAATGTTTCTCTTATTACATTCTATTACAATAAAATTTGTTCGTTCTTGCATTTTTTTGTGAATTCACAACGCGTAATAAGAAACTTCAAATGATTTTCATTGAGAACGAATAATCCTGAAGAATTCTAGAAGATTCTGTACCGGTTTAGCTCGCTCTATAACTTTCTCGAACATTCTATAATTTCTCAGAGAAACGCACATCTCAAATTTATGTAATTACCTGAAACATGCGTGGAAATTCCGAGTTAAAAAAAGGAAAATTGATGGTCTGATAATTGATTGGTCTTAAGTGTTTTTTTTATAGCTTTTTAGAATATTCCAATTTTCTGAAACATATCCCGAATGAAAATTTCGCTCAGGTTGCCTGGGTTTAAATCAGTTTTAAATCCGATACTGGTTAGCATTTTCTGATCAGATCTCCCGGATAAGGACCTAGTCAGTTATTGAACAGTTTATCTGGATCAGGTATGGCTCAGTCACTTCGGACTGTGATCCACACCAGTGCGGATCCTTCAGTGTTTTATTTTAACATTAACAACGAAATAAAATCAAAATACTTCCTTTTTCCACCGTAAATTGCTTACGAGAGGCAACAAAAATGGGAAGTCAATTTTCATAGACAAGCAAGTGAAGTAGGTATTGCGAACCGTCCTAAATAATGCTCGAAGGTGGGATAAGAATAAGGAGCAAGCTGAAGATGAGAAAGATGGAGAGAAAAGCACAGGAGAAAGAATTCTAACGAAAATTGCTTAAAGGGTCCTGTTATTATTGTTTTTCACATGAAACTTCTCTGATATCTATTTTTAAAATTCAATTTTCCAATTTCTATCAAGAGTTCTATCAAAATTCGTTCAACGTAGGTTATTGCTATTATTTACTATTCAATTTTATTATTCACAATTTCTTGTTGATATTTACAATTCAAAACCTAATACTTTCATCGGAGACATGATTAAATAAAAATTCGACTTCAAGACAGTTCGAAATCTTGTTTTCATTGCATGTTAGCTAATTCATGAATGATGAGGACTGATCCTGGAAAATTGATCAGGCACTGATAAGACAGATTGGATCCTGCCATTCCGATCGAGCTTGGATCAGGTGTTGACCAGACAAATTTGATCGTACACTGGTCAGGGAGATCAGATCCACTACTGAACAAATAACTCCGATCCTGGCATTCAGATGAAGCATGGATCCAAACAAGTGTTACAAATCTGATCCAAAACTGATTAAAACGAGTTTTCACTGATCAGTCTTATTCCCGACTGATTTGAATTTCCACTTGGGATTCTGCATGAGTAAATTGGAGTTTACCAGATGATTTCCAAATTTTTCAGAGGATTCTGTACCGTTCGAACTTATCTTGAATATTATACGAGAACCTTCCATGAATTTCCGGAGAACTTGAATTTCCGGACAAACATCTCAAATTATATAGAGTACGATACGCGAAACATCAATTGACGTATTATACATAATATATTGACAACATTAAACTACACTTGCTTTAACCCCCCTGAATTCCTGCCGCCCGTGCATTTTTACTGTTCATGAAAAAAAAAGTTCGATAAAAATGATTGATTTTGGGTTAGGTGGGACATGACGATAGACGAGGAAAAAAGTGGCGATTTAATGCAAAAAGTTGATTTGATTTTGTGCTAAAATGAGATTTTTAGTGGTTAAACCCGGGGATTCCAAGCGATCCCAATTTTCAAACTTTTTTGGGACTCAATCCGAGCGAATGAGAACGAAATAAAAATTGCCAATAAATTCAATATAGTTAAGAGTAGGCATTGTCATTTTTTTCGATTTTTATTAACTCTCATTTCAATGAAAAAAAAAAAAATTCGAAAATGGGTGGCACGGTACTCATTGAGCCAGTTCAGGGGAGTTAGCGAATTAAATTTCTCATTTTCTTCGAAAACTACATATATCTGTTAGAATTCTGCAAGTTAGTTCTGATTGTTCTATTGAAAATGTGCAATTAATTTTGACCTTACAATCTCTTTATCGTGATGAAAATGTCCGAATTGTCGGAATTAAAAAAACCAGTGACAAACGCAATTTCATAAAACAACAAAGGATATACTAACGAAAACAGAAAAAGCAAAAACCTGTCAACTTCAAATTCTATCATAAAAACAATTTTCACATTTTGCGGTCGAACAAAAAAAACCCGCGTTGAATTGTTTCTGTACGTCTCAAACGTCTCATTAAATTCACAATCGATTACATTTCAATTTTTCAATTCGAATTCGATCACTTTTCAGATTAACGTGGATGAAAGCCAATCAACCGTGATGTATATCACTAAAGCCCATTGTGGGCATTGTACACATGTTACTTCATATGTAGGACAGAACCTTGAAATCATACAGAACTACAAATCAAACGGTGGCCTATCGCTGCGCTTTTTTCAGCCTTTCGGAGGAGTCGATACGCCGACGTGTTTCCGGGTAATTACCGGCATGGTTTCAAACTTGCAAAGCGTCGTAATTTACGAATGAAGTGACGGTTGGTCGAGGAGGGTCGACGGAGGGAGGAAGAGGAGAGCAAACGTGGGAGGATGGGGGTACTATCGCACTCTGCAAAACCCGGGGAAATACGAACGTCAATTCCAGACTAAATCGATTCGGGTCTTGCGTTGGACGAATCGATGCCGTTATTTGGGCTTGGCAGCTTCACTTCTCTTGTTTTACATCTTCTGATTATGGTACACACGGATCATGCATTGGTTTTCATTGGATTTTACACTTCATAGATCAAATCAATTTTTAGTCATCGAATATTTATGATTTTAGAATTTTGATCGAGAGAGCTGTGCATGTTTTTCGTTATCATTTTTTTTTGTTTTCTTCTTGCTTCCGAATGGAAATTTCAAGTTCATTCGGAACTGTGTCAATAACTTCGGAATAATCCATACAATACGTCCGACATAAATTTGTATAGCGCTTCGCTTAATGAGATATCCCCGGTACGAAAGCTGAAATGGGCCACAAATTAGGCCAGTACTAGGCGCAGAGCTACCGCGTGTTAGGTGCCGACCTTTAATCGACCTTGGGCTAGACTCAGGTTTGATGACGTTGGGCCGATATTGGTTGCCAATCATCGACTGATGATCGGCACCAGTGACTCGCCCGATACTTATTTTCAATCATTTAGAATCGTTTAGAAATCGTTTTAGAAAGAAGTAACCAAGGTTTCTATAACTGAGAAACTTCTATCTTCTACCTTCATTTTTAGAGACTCTAGAAATTTTTTCCAAGTTCTAGAAAAAAATTCGTAGGAAGTTAATCAGCAAAATTGCAATTAATTCTACATCAAAATATTCTGAATTTTAGAATAGTACACTGAGAAAAAAAATGTCTAAGAAATAGAAATTCTATGATTGATCCAAATCGTTCATCGATTGAATAGTCGCAAAAGAAAATGCTATTGTAACACACAAATATCGATTCAATTTTAATGTTTTCGATTGAAAAAGAATGAGATCAGTTA